ATTTATCTCAGTATTACAAGGCCGAGCCCACCAGTGCCATGCCCAGAAAGCATGTAACACTAAGCTGTCTGCTTGGCCTCTGCCTGGGCCTCTCATTTCCAGAATTCTACCAGTGAGCTGCTCTGACTGAGGCTAGCCTGGTCTACATAGTAAGTTTCTGGACAGCCAGGGCTATATAGAGAGTCCCAGGTCAAAATAATAGTGGTAGTAATAATGACAATAATAAATAATTATCCTAGTCCAGGCTACTACTGCAATGAAGGGTGGTAGTCTTCTACCTGTCTGTTAAGTCTAGGGTATATTGTAACCCCAGGAAGTTAATTGTAACCACTCCATGAGGTATTTGGAATGGGAGCAGGGGGTAAGTGTTTCCTTTAAAAGCATTTTAAAATCTAGTAGGAGCTAATCCCCATAGTTCAGTTTTAGACTCTCCTTATTGTAAACAATGTAGGTTGCTTAGTGCCACCGCAGGAAGTATCTTGAGGATCTGCCAACATTAAGTTCCTTTCATTTGCATACCAAAGGGTGAGGCACTGACAGTCACTGTTTACCAAGGTGCCCAGTCATCTCGTGTGCCAATACCACATGGAGCTAATTATGGCCATGGTCAGAATATAGTAACCAGGAAACTAAGGCAGAACTACAAAGCAGCAGAGGAAAGCTTGTTCCTGTCGACTATTAAAAGAATAATAAGGGAAAGTCCTGAGATTTTTGTTTAACTGAATTTGTAGCCATGAGCACAATGTAATTCAGATGTCCTAGGTCCCAGTGCCACTGGCGTTTCATGCTCAGGGTAAGCAGCATGGGACCCATTGGGAAGAGTTGGTGACTTTTAGAGATGATGTAAAAGATTTGTCAAAGCTGGGCTAGTCTCTCACTCCAGCCCTACTTCTTCTCCAGTCTTCTTTCTACTGGTTTATTTTCAAACTATTTTCTAGAGCTTACTGTGATAGATTGAAAACTCTCCGGTCTGTCCCTGATTCAGCTCTTAGGTAGTCCACACTTATTTCTCCTTGTCTGTTTTGCATTGTCAGCAAACTATTCTATGTTTAAAGATGTGTATTACTGATTCCTTTGTCAGTAAATAGGGTTTATAAGAACAATTTGTGTTTAATTTAGCCACTTTTCCTATTAAACTGATTAATTTAATATATGCGTAGCCAAAATAGCTTAAGTGGTTGTTATGGCAGTTCTCTCTCTCCCTCCCTCCCTCTTTCTCTCCCTCTCCCCCCCCTCCAGAGAGAGAGAGAGAGAGAGAGAATGAAAAGGAAGGAAAACTAGGATTAACACCCATGATGTTTCCTTAATATAATACTATAAATGTAGCAGTTTTTTTTCAAGGAAAAAAGAAATTATTTAGGCAAATTTAAAGTTATTTCTTGCCACAAGGTGCTTTGAGGCATAAGGAAAAGTACTGAGGAGTGATTAGACATTTATAGTTAGTTTTAAAATTTAAAAATACTTCATGGGTTTTATACTACTTGAAATGGATGCCTAGTAAAGCGCTACATAAACTATTGTATTTAGGATCAAGGTCCTTTGGGTTTAAACTAAGTGTTGTACTGAGTGCTTTGTTTTGTAAATAAATAAATAAGCAGAGCTTGGGAGCTTGGGAACTCGCTCCTCTACTCACCTTCCCGCTAAAGCCTGGGTGATATATTTTGAAAGAAAAGGCACACTCCTCTCTTGGGAGACAGAAAATGGAGACTAACGGATGTTGTCATCATACTGCCACCAACATGTCTGACATGTGGAAAGAGAAGGCTGTTCTGACTGAGTCCCCTTTCTGTTTTCATTCAGGGATATTACCTAACAAAACTTGGTGTTCTGGAGGAATTTCACTTTTTAAAGATCATACTTGCTTTCAGCAGTGTTTAGATTTCATTCTGTTCTCAAAATTGGTCATTGTAACCTCCACCAGGGCTGGGAAACCCCCTCTTAGGACTGGAGATCTTTCCATTATGATGGATGTCAAGAGTTCTCAAATATTTGTGGGCCTAAGAATTCATTGAAGAGTTTAGCAGACTCCTGGGACCATTGGGGCTCGTGGAGAGTTTGGTTGTGTAAACAAGGCATGGAGCCTAGGGACCTGCACTTAACAAGCTATGCCGATGTGTGATTCCTAAAGAGTCACCTTTGTTGGAGCAGAGCTCCAGGCTGTAAACTGTAGAGCCATTTTAAAGATTTACATGTAAATCTTAACACTGATAGCTCTCAGGAATACAATTTTAACCCTGCATCAGCAGCTTAGTAAATACTTAAAGATCTGTTGATTCTAGAGGTCATTAGCATGAGACAAATATTTATCAAAAAGAAAACATGCTTTAATTTTCTGAATTCTCAGATGACCTAAACTATTTTAGAACATTAAGAAATTAAAGGTGAAAATTAAATGACTTCAAGTTGAAAGAAAGAAAGAAAGAAAGAAAGAAAGAAAGAAAGAAAGAAAGAAAGAAAGAAAGAAAGAGGAGGGAGGGAGGGAGGGAGGGAGGGAGGGAGGGAGGGAGGGAGGGAGGAAGGAAGGAAGGAAGGAAGGAAGGAAGGAAGGAAGGAAGGAAGGAAATAAGGAAATGTTACAGAAACTCATGATCCATTGGAGTGATTGGGACTTACACCTTGTGGTTCTTGTGGTTCTAATGGTGTGATCTTTAAGTACAGAATAATTTAGTAAAGCCTATTAGAATTTATAATTCAAGTATATTAAAACAGGTTACCACAGAAGTTTTGATAACATTTCATTTAGCTCTATGCCAAGGGTTTTATTTTCTTAAGTTTTGCTTACAATCTAATTTGCTACAGTTGAGGCTCTTTGTATAATTTCTGTACTCGAAAACTTACCCTTTGCGGTATACAGCTGAAATTTTAGCCTACAAAGTTGTTAGGTCAGTGTCAGGAGGAAGATTAGAAATTGTAATTGAATTTCTTGTCAGTCCTACTCCCTTTTTTTAAGATTTATATACTTACTTTATGGATGTGGGTACATTATAGCCATCTTCAGACACACCAGAAGAGGGAATCAAATCCCATTGCTGATGGTTGTGAGCCACCATATGGTTGCTGGGAATTGAACTCAGGACCTTTGGAAAGGCAGTCAGTGCTCTTAACCTATGAGCCATCTGTTCAGTCCCAGTCCTACCCTTTGTCAGTTGCTGGCAAACATTGATCTGTTTTCCTTCCCTGTACCTGAATGCCAGATGTAGCGAATCCACATTGTGTGACCCAGGGCCTCTTGCTGAGGAGGTGCCCACTGAAAGGGGTGCAGCTGAGTTTTATGCATTGGCCAGCTAAAAACATCTCGGGTGTGCTTTATTTTCCACTTTAAAGTTAAACTGTTGTTAATATTCAGATAGGGTTTTGTATGAACATAGTTTTCATTTTTCTTGAATAAAGATGTCATAGTGAGATTATTGGGTGCAAGTTAAGGATATGTACGTAGAGAATCTGTAGGCTGCAGGGGCTGGACCGGTGACTTGGTGACCAAGAGCACTTGATGTGCAAGTGTGAACACTGTTTGCGTGCGTTCCTGGGACAAGGAACTGAGATACATATTTTATATATCAAAGCAGACCTAGCCTCCAGGTTCTCCCAGCATCCCTCAGTCCCTACCTGGCATACCCTGCCCCCAGCCTTGAACTTTCCAGCCCAGGAGCTAGGCTGCCCTTTCCCCAGAGCCTCCTTCCTCTATAATCCAGACATCTTATACGCTCGCTTTCTCCTCTCCAATCAAGCACCTCAGCTCCTAGCATTCACATTAGAGAGTTGTTTGCCCCACAGGTTCCTTTAACTCCAGTTCTGTGGGAGTAGAGACAGGAGGAGGATCACTGATGCTTACTGGCTGCCAGCCTAGCTCCAGGTTCAGTGAGAGACCTTGTCAGAAAGGGGGAGGAAGAGAGTGATAGAGCAGGACACTAGTGTTCTCTTCTAACATAAGGGAGTATGCATACGGGCACATGCACCTCAATTCTCATGGATCTCTCTCTCTCTCTCTCTCTCTCTCTCTCTCTCTCTCTCTCTCTCTTACACACACACACACACACACACACACACACACACACACACACACACGCTCTCTCACAGGTTGCAAGTTGCTTTCCAAACTAGCCATCCCTTTGTGTTCTTGCCTACAGTGTATAGGGGACCTGCATTCTCATTAACACTAAATATTATTGTTCTGCGTTTTGTGTTGTTCTACTGTAGTACTCAGTGAGTAGTTGCATCTCAGTGTGACTTCTCTGATAGCCAGTAATGCCATGCATCTTTTCATGTGCTCATTTTACAATTTTATCTCTTCTTTTTTGATGTCTCTGTTATGACCCTCCCCCCTCAAAGGTGGGGAGTTGAAATAGGATTTCTCTGTGTAACCCTGGTTGTCCTGGAACTGACTTTATAGGCCAGGCTGGCCTTAAACTCAGAGATCCAACTGCCAGTGCCTTGACTGTGCTGGGATTAAAGGTGCACACCACTGTGCCTTCCCCAAGTGTTTTGCTAGTACTGAACTTTAAGTTTTTCATGTATCAGCAACACTAGGGAGAAGTTCAAGTCACAGCCCCACACTGACCCCCACTGCAGACTAAGGACTTTATCTAGATTTACATTGAGGTGAAGCTTGGATACTTTACAGGAAGAAAAAAAAAAGCAAAGCTGAACAGGAAGAAGGTCTATAAACCTGAACACAAGACTGTCAGAGAGAGAGGTTCCAGGTAGTAGTGAGCCATGCCCAGTGCTGTGTGATGGTTTAAACAGTGCCGTGTGTACCGTACCGCATCACAGTGCTACATGTACAGTGCTGTATGTACAGTACCACATGTACAATGCTGTGTGCACAATACCACATACACGGTGCTGTATGTACAGTACTGCACATACAGCATCGCATGTACATTACCACATGTACAGTATTTTGGAGGCCTTTGAAATGGCATTGCTTAAAGGGCTTCTAACATCAAGTAAAGTTTATGTAGTAAAAAAAATCAGAATTTAATTTTCCCTTCCTCTTTCAGTGTTAAATGTTTACAGAAGACAGTAAAGGACTCTTACCACATAATATGTAGACCATGTGCTTGTGAACTTGAAGTTTGTGCAAAATGTGGAAAGAAAGAGGAGATCGTTATTCCGTGAGTATTGCCTTTTACACTGGAATTTGTGTCTAGTAATTAATACATAAGCTGTCTCTTAGACAGCACTAGCAGTTTAATACAAGCACTTTTCTACATAACAGAAGAGTCACAATTTTATAACAGATTTTTCAATTATATATAAGATGACATATATTTAGGAACATCCGCCCTGGCCATGAGCTGCATATTCATCACCCACTTCACAGCAATCCTCACTAATGGGCTTCTGTTACTAACTCCTCGGGGCCGCAGTCAGAGTCTGCTGACTCGAGTTTAAACTGGTCCTTAGAAGAGGTCTCTGTTCGTTCTGGAGGCTCCTGATAGGAAGCAGACTAGTAAAGGCTTTTTAACCACCACCGTTAGGTAATGAGAGCCCGAGTAATAACTGCCGACTTTTCTTCTTTTTCTTCCATTTAGGTTTAATAAAGAACCAGAGACTTCAGACAATACTGAAAATGAAGGTTCTAACCATAGAAGAAGCTGCAGACGGAAGGAAGACAGTGATGAGGACTTAGATGCTGAGTCTGACTTGGATGGCGAGGATGGGGACACTCAGGCCTGCCAGCACCCAGTCAGTTGCAGAGGGAGTCAGAAAAGGCTGTTCCAGTAGGCAGAACTGGCTCGTGAGCGATGTTGGTTATTTATAACATTTGAGTAACAGAATCTTAAAGGTTTTCACAATAACACTTAAGCTGTATATACAGAATATGTGTGGGCACACTATGGCATGTTGTATAAAACCTATAGAAATTATTTATAAAAACATATTACCTAATGTCAAATAATTCAGTGCTGAGAATTGGTGATTGTATCAGAACCATCTCATGGAAAACTAAGATGACTAGCTCAGTACATTTCCATAGCCTGACCTTGACTATGTGACTTCTTTAGCAAAAGCCCCCTTACATCATAGAAAGCAAACAGTGTACACACACACACACACACACACACACACACACACACAAATCATGTGTAATGATTTTCCTTCAAAAATGTTTTTATATACTTTATTCCATTTTTTTTAACCTTTTCCTAGTTTGGAAATATATACTTAGAAAAAAGTATATGGACTGTATAGTTAACTATCTAGAAAGGAAAATCCAACATTCATACTAGAGTGGACGTACTTGCAGTATCAGAAGCTCCTGTGAAGTTCTCCCTCATAAACTTATCCCTCCCAGAATTCCATCATCCTGAATTATCACTTTATTGCCAGTGTTTTTACTTGTAAACAGTGTAATTTAGCTTCATGTGATTATTGAAATCTGTGTCCATGTGTTTAAAAACCCAAAGCTACAGAAAAGTGACCAGGTGGTACAATGAACTTTTCCACACTCTTTAGCTGGATTCCCAATTTTAATGTTCTCCTATGTTTTCTATGTGTCCTAATCTCTATGAATGTATATATGACACATATGTACATGTATATGTGTGTGTATATATTTGCCGAGCCATTGAAATAAATGGGAACCTGTGGTTTTGGACTTGTGTGTCTTGTTGCTGTTGTTGTTGTTATAAAAACTTGGAGACTGATTTTCCTGATATACACAACACTTATGTAAAGAAGTAGAAATTGTATTGAAGATATTTTACTTTAAGCTTAAATTCAAGGCCTAAGAGAGAAGGACTCAGAGGAAAGTAAGACACACTCAAGAGTATGAATGTGAGTCACAGAAAGTAGTGTGTACCACGTATGGACGTGAGCTCCACATGGGAGAGCAAGCAGGTAACTGCCTTGGCATTAGCCACATGTACTCATGGTTGCATCTCAGGTTTCCTGAGTGTATAATCCTGTGGCCAAAGCAACTTAGGGTATTTGGGTTTATAGCTCCAGGGGTAAGTGTCCATCCTGGTGGTGAGGCATGGCAGCATGTAGGCACAACAGCTGGAACAGGAAGCTGAACTGGAAGAGGAGCCATCCTTTAAACTCCCATAGCCAGCCTCCAGCGACACACCTCCTCCAACAAAGACACAGTCCAGACTTCCCCAGCTATGGCCACCAACTGGGGACCAGGGGTTCAAATATCTGATAGATATCTTCGTTCTCTTTCAAGCCACCACAGTAAAACGGCTTGTTTTCTTCCCTGTCTTGGTGAGGTGGCTCTGCCCTGAATGGTATCGTAATCTGATTTAAAAGCAGAAGCCACTGCATATAGTGCTTAATGCATGCCCTTCCTACATAAAGGAGGACTCTGGTGGAACTCTTAGAAAATAGCAGGTTTGTGGCTTCGAAGGATAAAGGCCTTCAGCAGTTGTTGGTTGTGCTGGAGTCCTTGCTCTGCTGCCAGCAAAGGCTTCAATTAGATTCCAGAGCAAGGGATTTCTTTTATGTTTTTGTTTTGTTTTCTGTCTCTTCATGTCTCCAAACTCTCCCTGTCTTTTTATCCTGCCTTATTAGCCAATTGGAATGTGTGCAGCAATGTCTCTTTGCTAATGTTTATATCTCCCTAATTGTTAGTTAACCAGTACACCATTGGCTGTCCTGGAACTCAGGCTGTGGGTGGCTCCCGCTGTCACTTGTTCTGTACCCGGGGAGAAATGTGTAAGGAAGAGCTGCACCTAGAGGCCCATGCCACAACTGCAGGTTAGCTCTTCAGTTCTAAGAGTAGTTACTTTGTTTTGCTTTGGGAAATGGGCCTTATTATATTTCGTTCTTTTGTGTTTCTTTAAAAACTATTCTTATTAAGCTGGGCAGTGGTGGCGCACGCCTTTAATCCCATCAGTTGGGCGGCAGAGGTGGATTTCTGAGTCCGAGGCCAGCCTGGTCTACAGAGTGAGTTCCAGGACAGCCAGGGTTACACAAGAACATGAAGAACAAGAAACCTTGTCTCGAAAAACCAAAAAAAAAAAAAAAAGATGAGGAGGAGGAGGAGGAGGAGGAGAAGAAGAAGAAGAAGAAAAGAAGAAGAAGAAAGAAAGAAGAAGTAGAAGTATTCTTTCTTTCTTATGATAGTTGCACTTTGGAGGCTGAGGCAGGTGGATCTCAGGTTCAAGACCAGCCTTGTCTACATAGTGAGTTCCAGGATAGTCACACTACACTTGCCAGCCTGGTCTACATAGTGAGTTTCAGGATAGTCACACTTTACTGGAAAATCATAGGATTATCCTTTCTAGCTTACACACTCTTTTCTTGGAATTCGGTATATGGAAATGAAATGAAACATGTTTTCAGTATATAGTGAAAGTTGCCCTGCGTTGATATTCACCAGATAATCAGAACCATTGCACCTGAATATATCAGGGTTATTACAGAGTTTCCAACTATAATTATACACTTCATAGACTCCTTTAAGAAATCCTTGTTTATTGTGATGTATTTCTCCTGACTTATAGACCTGTTTTGTTGTTGTTGTTGTTATTGTTTTGTTCTGTTTTGTTTTGTTTCTTCCTGGGTTTTTAGCTGATTATGATTGTCAGGTACAGAAGATAGTTGCATGTAGTTAAAAGCCATTTTCATGCTTACCAGATACAGACCTGTTTGTTGAATTTCCTTCTTCACAGATTCTCTTGCAGCTAGAGGTAGATAGCCATGTGAGGGAAGTCTGGGAAAGAATTACCACAAAAGAAAACAGTTTGGCTCTTCCTGACTAAATTCGGTGTGAGAAGATCTGACTAGACACTGTAGCCATTGTGAGGAGATGCAGTGAGCTACAGAAATGATGCCCCAGTTCCAAGATGTTGAGCTGCTGACTTTGGGAATCTTGGGCCCACAACCTCCCAGTTCTTGTGAGGTATATAAATGTCTTTTCACAAGCTACTGCCAACCAGAAATCTAGTTATTTGCAGCCAGCAGCATTCCAGCTAACACCAAAACAATTTTGTGACACCTGTTCTATTGCACTCACAGCTGTGGTAGCAAGAAATAAATTCACATATTAAATGCGACTGATTGGCAGTGAAGCCTTGTGAATTTGCTTGCCTTCATTCTACAAAAGAATTCTCACAGATTCAATTGCTACTAATCACACAGTAGTAATGGTACTCATAGGTTCTAGGCATTTGCATACATTAACACATTGCCCTTGTAGTGCTGATCTGTTAATGAATGGAGACAGACAGCATGCGCTGCTGTATGAGTCCAATTGTTAGAGACTTGGAGGATCAAGAGTCAGAGCCCAGTGGGCTAGAGGTGTGGTACTCAAGTAGATGAGGAGAGAGAAATGATTTTTAAAGTGTCCCCTTGAAAAACCCATCCGTGGGCTGGAGAAATGGCTCAGGATTAAGAGCCATGTAACTGCTCTTCTTCTTTTTGGGAGGGGATATATTTATTATATATATATGAATATATTGTCACTTTCTTCAGACACACCAGAAGAGGTCATCGGATCCCATTACAGATGGTTGTGAGCCACCATGTGGTTGCAGGGAATTGAACTCAGAACCTTTGGAAGAGCAGTCAGTGCTCTTAACTGCTGAGCCGTCTCTCCAGCCCCAACTCTGCTCTTCTAGAGGACTCAGGTTCAATTACCAGCACCCACATGGCAGCTCATAACTGCCTGTAACTCCGGTTTCAGACTATCCAACAACTTCATACAGATATACATGGAGGTAAAGCATGAATGCACATAAAAACAAAAATAAATTTTTTAAGAAAGGAAAGAGAGGAAGAAAGAAAAATCTCTGTTGTGCAAAGAGAGGTAAGAGACATGAGAAGAATGTTCCAGGCAGAGAAAACCGAGAAGCCTGGAAAGGAAGGCATTTGCTCTGTTTAAGGAGCTGCAAGGAGGGATCTGGTTACCTAAGAGCCATTAAAAGATGACACCAGCATGTAACAGCAGGCCATGTGCCAAGCAGAGTGGCACATCCTGTAGTACCAGCACTGAAGAAATGGAGGCAGGAGGAGCTGGAGTCAGTCTCTGTTACACGTTGAGTTGAGGCCAGTCTGGGCTACATAAGACCCTGTCTCATGAAACAAAAACATTTTTAACTTTTACTGTTTTGTTTCAGATCTTGAGTGATTTCACCAATGTGAATGTGTTTGTTCTGTGTGACGTTTTCGGAGCCCCTGACATCTCTTGGTATCTTTAACATCAGACTCAGAAAACTGCCGTCCACTATTTCCGCAGGTAGTGTTTCTGTTCCTTTTTCGGGATTCTGATGCCCATCCTGGGCGATCCATTGAGCTATGTCCTCTGTATTTAAGCAGGTTTCCTACTTGCCTTTCTTTGCATTCGTGAATCTTCTAGAGAGTGGTAAATTAATGTCTTTGAGGTAGTTTTAAACCTTTTACAAGTCATTAATCTCTGACAGTGAATTTATAATTCTAAAACGTCAGCTAGATCTTTGAGATTATATCTGTTGAAATTTTCATTGTCCATGTTTTTCTGTTTTCTCTCATATAATAATCATAGTTGATTGTTGTCTGGAGTAGTTAAGGTGTGGCATGAATATCATGGATTATACACTGGAAGCATTGGCCCTAGTACTGTGGGTTTGAAGTGGCAGACTGCCTAAGAAGAGGACTTAGTATAAGCTAATTAGGTCATGAAAGAACCACCTTCAAGGAATTGAGTGAGTTCCTACCAGAATGGACTCTTAAGCCAAAAAACTAGCCTCGTGGTGCTGGCTCACAGCTTTAATCCCAGCACTTAAGAGGTAGAGGCAAGTGGATCTCTGCGAGTCTGAGGCCAGCATGGTCTACAGAATGAATTCCAGGACAGCCACAGAAGAACCCTGACTCAAAAAAAAAAAAAAAAAAAGAAAAGAAAAAGAAAAAAAACAAGAAGCTAAAAATCTTCTTGCCATGTTCTTTGACCCGTTCACTACCAGAATTGTGTGTTGTTTATAAAGTACACAGCCTTTAGTACTTTGTTAACACAACACAAGATACATCAACAGAACGTCTTTCCTTTGCTTACCACTTGCTACATCCTTTGATTGTCGGTCACTTCTTAAACTCTACACAATTATAAAAAAAGAAAAAGAAAAAAGAAATGTGGCTGGTGATGTAGTAGTGTTGGGATGTCTTTGAGAGGGATGATAATGTCCAGCAACACTGGATTATTTCTCTTGAGGGCACACTGGGAGTGTTTTGTAATGTGTCTGGGCCTCTGTTGTCCTGTCTTTTTGTGATCTGTCTGCCTGCTCATAGCCACGTGATTACCAGCACCATATTCTCTGCTATGAGGCCCTGATCAAAAAAACCAAACAGTGCAAAGGATTTATCACCCTGTTCTGACTGTGCCCAACTTCTTCAAATCCCTCAATGTGAACTCCCTGTCGTGATGATATCCTGGAACTATGAGCTGAATAAACCCTTTCTCCCACGAGTTGCTTTTGTATTTTATCACAGCAAGGAAAAAAAAGAAAAAGGAAGATGGTTTCTGCCTATAGTCCTCAAAAGCCACAGTAGAAGGAGTAAGCCTAGAGGCCAGCCTGAACAACACAGAACATGCTGTCTCAAAGGAAAAATAAAAAGAGTACTTAATTTTATAGAAGTCAACCAGCTGCCTTCAGTATTTCATCAAATCCTAGTTATAATACC